CAAGAAGACCGCCGGAAGACGGACACCCTTGATATGACTTCACCAAAGATAACATATTTTAAACTGTTTCACTTGCAGTAGTATGCTGTTATGCAGTCATGCATAACAACCCACTATTGCAAACGCCCGTACGGCCCATCAGGCAAGGTAGGATGGAATGTAAATAAATAAATAAACTCTGATAAGAGAGGCAGAGTAGATCGGCCTACAAAATGAAGAAAAAACAAAATATATGATAATAACCCGAAAATTCCACCCCAATAACAAGATCTGCGTAGAATGAAAATCATTCCCGAGAGTAGACAAATTCAAATACCTCGGCTCCACAATAACCTCAATGAATGACCACTGGGCAGAAATAGACCAGCGTATAACTAGCGCAAACAGAGCTCTCTTCTCCCTCTCAAAGGTATTGAAATCCCGAAAAATCTCAAACTAAGATTTTACAATGATATGATAAAGCCAGTTCTAATATTTGGCTGTGAGACCTGGACACTAATCAGCACTCTAGAAAAAAATGTTGAAAGATTTGAGAGGAAAATCCTCCGCACGATAACCGGAGCGATCTCGGATCAGAGTACTGACACATGGAGAAGAAAGACCAATAGGGAACTGCTCACAGAAACTGTTCAATCAATATCCCGTGATATGAAGGCACGGAGGCTAAGATGGGCGAGGCATGTAACTCGTAGCAATCCATCTGGAAGCCTCTACGCAACAATCAATGCCTTTGTAGAAGGCAAAAGACCAAGTGGAAGGCCAAAAATTAGATGGATAGATAGCCAAGACAGGCAGAGATGGAGCAGTCTTGTTATGGTGGCAAAATATCTGCATGGTCTGTAATACCAAACGAAAATAAAGGTTTAGCAATAATATATTTGATCGTTTTGATCTTAATTCTGGCAATATAATGAGTATTATGAAATAATGATAACAAGCATACCACTGTGAAAACTCTCACATTAGTATTTCTTTAAGCATCTTAATTCAAAATATATTCAACGGATTATAAGAGAAACCAGCGAAACATATTTATTCGTGTATATTGTACAATATAATGTTATCAAGAAAATATATTCAACACAAATAGTCGCTGGTAAAGCTTCATATTTTATCACGACTGTTGAAGTACCAATTTCTTAATAAATGATTAGATTATCTCACTGAAAAATAGTTCTGACATAAGAAATGTCTCTTCCTAAACTTATATCCTTTTTTTTTTTGCTCAAGACCTGTATGTTTGTTGCAGAAGAGTCTATTACTGAGGGTTTAGAAGAAAGACTTGGATATTTTTTGTATTTTATCAAAAATATCAAAAAGCATCTTTCTATATTATCTGAAATACAAAATGCATCACAGAGCTTTTCTCCTCCATCTACTTTTTCAATCGTTTTTTAGTTCGTCGAACACTATCACAAATAAAAATATTTTAATTTTTAAAGTCTAAATATGTTTCATTCCTAAGTAACCCATGGCAACCATATCACATAAGATGGATTGTTGTATCACCTAAGAAGCTTTTAACAAGAATTATGGATCTCGAAAACACTACAGCTTACCAGGGGTGCCCACCCCCTCCTCAAGGGCAACAGCCCTTGTTCATACTCCCAAGAAAATTTATTGCTCCCCTCATCTTAAAAACGTTGCAAATGGAGGTATAATTATTTAAAAAATAGTTTTCTTGTTTTCCATTGTTCCTTGAGTTGAAGTTTTCTTCAATTGAAACTTAACAAAAATATGATATCACCTTAAAAAGTATATATGTGTTGTAGAATAAAGTGTATTCTATTATCTTCCCGATCTATCGACTTTCGAAACTATCTGAGTTGTAAAGCCTACCAATGACTTTCATTAAAGTTGTAGGAATTAATGAAATGAAATTGAGATTCATCACTTCTCTACGATATTTCATTTGGTTTGATACTTCATTTATCAAAACCCATTGCTCCTGAGATCGGTAATAGAATTCTATACTACCCTGTTATATATATTGTAGATTATTTTCAAATATAGATTTATTTTTTGAATAAATTGCTTAATATGCAGCCATAACTTTTGAATTGTTTTACTGAATGGGTGGGGAGTAACAGAAAGGGGGACAAAATTCCTATTTCTAGCCCTAGTATGTATATTTTTTTTAGCCTCTTAATAAAATATAAATCGATCAAATTAAATTTATAGTATACAAACCATATCAATATCGTTGAGGCAGTGTTAGTGCTATCTTGATTTAAGACTACGTGAATGCTTCGAACAGTGACGAAGGCCTCGGCAAGGCTTCTCACTACAAATTGCTTACCTTAAGTGGATGTTTTCGAATAATAATGATTTCCAGAGGGATCCATTAGTATTCAAAACCATTAGTCGGCTGATGTGCTGTCTCATCGTAAATGGAAGGGTCTACATCACGAACAAACTTAGCGGATTTCATCAAGATTTATGAAATCATAATTAGTCCCAAGTCACGAGGTTATTTTTAAGATATTCAGATCACAAATGCTCCCGTCTGATCTGAAATTAAATTATCAATTACCGAGATAGAATTCCTAAAATAATTATAATAATATAAAATAGTCAAATAAATTCTTAGCTCGATGTTGCTATGACACTGGCAAAATGAATAAGTTTGCGCAAATAAGGACGTATCTATATTTCTGTTGTTCTTTCCTATTCATAATTTTCTTAGGATTCGTGTAATATTTTTATAACGCCACTTTATCACAAAAAAAAGCACATTTTTATTGAGTTGAACTTTTAAGAATATTTTTATGAATTTCAATCTTATTTATCAAGAAAAAAATAAGTTCATCAGAATGACATGAACTCTTTGTATGGGCCATCCAAAAAACCAAACAGAAGAATAGCGTGTTTTTCGACTTCCAAACGTTCTTTATAGTTGTTTTAGGAAGTTGCTAATGTTAGCATACATAATCATCATTATTTTTTTCTTAAGATTATGGGCCGTGTTATCACTAGAAAATAGTAATTTTATATATTGCGTTTAAATAATTATAATTATTTTAAATTCATTGATTTTTAATCGATCATTCTCAAAATTTTTTGATAGCTCCATTATAAAGTTTTAATACAAACACCGTTCACAAAAATGTCATTTTCTTCTTGCTATTTAGTTGTATATAGAACTCTATTTCTAATTTAAATACTACTAATGAAATTTTATTAGCATGGAAAGAAAATAACATTTATTATTATGGCAATATATACTCCTCTATTATTATAACTTTGTTTCTTATTGCAATATATACAATGTATAATAATTACCTGATGTTTTTGTTTTTTGGGATTGATGTCCAGGACTTACAGGTCCAGGATTTAATTTTAGCAGGGGCTTCAGCCTGTAAGATTTTTTTATATATATATATATATTATGATAATTACTTTGGAAGAAAAAGAAAGAAACTAACTACCTTTAGAATATTTTTTCATAAAACGTGGTTATATTTTACTATTTTGGAGAGAGCTTCAGCCCGAAATCCCCCTCCCCTTACCCTCCTCCTTCATACCAATACCAATAACAATAATAAAATTAAGACACATATTTTGTTTCTTGCTTTGGGTTACAACTTTTATTTCACCAACTCCTGAGCAATATTGTGAGTCATCCTATTTCTTCATGTTTCTGGTATTAAAACATGTTAAAGCCAACATATGATAGATAATCTCATTTCACAAAGTACTTTTTAGCTCAAGGATGTTTCATAAATTTTAGCTTGTCAACTCCTGTAACATTTCATAAGAAGGAGCTTTGCTCTGACATTTTAATACATAGGAAGTTTAAAACCTTGTTAAGAGAACTAGTAACCTTTGAGAGAGGAAAAAACCGAAAGCCTTGACACTCTATGGGCTACTTTATCAGGTCCCAGCCCTTTAGTGTTGGTGTCATTGTATGAGTCATCATTTCAATGTTTAACTTAGTTTAAGAGCATATGGAACAAATTTAGGCAATTTATGGCAATTTATTTAATTTATGGCAATAGCAATTATTTTGTTGTTGTTTTAAATATATTTTATTTTATAAGTTATTAAATTGCTTACAGAAAAAGTAATACATACATAAAATACTAAAAGTATTTTGTATATTATTACGTAAAATAAAACACATCTCATAAAGAGGTGTTTTAAATCTAATTCCTTAAAAAATAAAACTTTTGTGAGGAAAAAGCCATGAAAGCAAGATATAGTAGATATAAATTTTATTATAATTAATCTCCAGCTCATTGATTTATAGACTAAGTTCTATCAAAGGGCACCTCATCGTGCACTGCGGTGTAAGAAGGAAGACAAATAAGAAGGAGAAAAATTAATTTATAATAAATTATTAATTAATTGTATTTCTGACAAATTATAAAAAAAAGTGATGATCTGTCAAATTGTTTCATTTTAATCATTCTTCAAGTTAGCTCATTAATTCTATAAGTCCAATCCTTCTTTTTTTTTGTTTCTTAATGAAAAATACTTGAAAATATTAATAAAGAAAAACAAGCATATTGTTTTTCTACAAAATGTGTCCTTATTCCAACATATAACTGTGTAAATTTTGTTTATCCATTTATTACTTTTTTTGTCTTAACAATCCTAGTTACCATGGTAAATATGTTTTTTTTTTTATTTCACCATTTTCATCATCTATGTATATAGTAGTATTATATATATAGTATATCTAGTGTATGTTACATCAGAGATAATTTGTTGTTACACAGAATACTAAATTGAATGTATATTTTAAATAAAAACTATTTCATTCAAGGTTTCCTGATTTTTTATCAAGAACATATGAAGTAGTAGGATGATTAATATAAAGTAGAAATGAAATTTCAATTCCTATCTGTAACATTATTCTTGTGTTGTCTCTGACTGTATATTTACAATCAAAATTTTTCTTAAATTAAATTCATCATCTTGATATGTTGAAGGTTATTAGAAAAAATATATCTTAAAATGTTTTTTACTTACACTTTAATAACCTTTTTATATTTTAGGATGACGGTACAGTGGAATACTACAACACCATCGTAGTCCAGCCCCATAGGAAACTGGTTACTAGCCAGGGTAAAGGGTTTCATGTCAGGTGTAAATATACGACTAGGGAAAAAATAGTTACGAACGACATCAATGTTAAGTATGTATTTGAAACTTATTTAAAAAAAATGTTTTCTTTACCAACCCTAATCTACTAATATGTACATTTGAATTGAAGTTATTTTTTACTCAAGATCCTCCCCAAAAGAAAATAATTTGACACCATTGATTTTTTATTGCAAATAACATTATCTTGTGTACATGTTTTTGTGATGACTAAAAAAGTAAACATATTGGATATAATGTAAATATTATTAATTTTTTGGGATACATTATAATGTTATTTGTATACTTATTTAAGTGATCATATAATAGAACATATTAAATCAGATTAGTTTAAGTGAGCATATATCTGTGATGAGAATGCTGATGATGAATTTAAAATGAACATAAAAGTTATTCAAATTTGTTCCTTCTTCGGAGATATTATCTATTGAATGATTACTTTAGTAGATATATACAAGAATTTGATAAACCTCCGATAAGTTCTTTCACTACTCTATCTTCACCAATATCAATATAAGCAAAATATTTTGTCCTAAATGCTAATATTTTTTAATATACAGTATATTCTTTGATATTTTTTTTTAGCACCTCAACAATTTCATTATCATCTATTTTATATATTTTATCTATTTTAATGTAATATTAATAGTACTATAGTTAATTGTTTAAAGAGTAAATGCAAATGCTAAAATAAAGCTAATCGGAGTTTAGATTCATTCCACCAAATTCACCATAATATATTGGATTTCAATAATTAGCAACTATTTAAAAAAATAATAATATCTCAATGTTGTTTAATTTCAGTACATTAGAACCAACATTGCTGCTAGGAACTGCGCCTATGCCTGGTTGCACAATGGTAATATATCAAGGAGATGAAGTGGCACAGAATGTGAAAATCGGAGAACAGTTGACTTTGAGAGTTTCTATCGACACTCAAGAAGTCTATTCAATGCGTCTCACACATTGCTCAGTGACAGACGCAACCAACTCAGCTTCGCAGCCGCTTATTGATGACTATGGGTAACTTATTTTAATATATTAAAGTTGTTTTTTTAAATTTTATAATATATATATATATATATATATATATATATATATATATATATATATATATATATATATATATATATATATATATATTTATTAAACGGCCTTTTAAGGCCATTACTTTTTCTTTCTCATTTTCTCTTTTATCTTCTCCCAGTATCTTCTCAGCATTTCTGCATGACATTGCTTCCTCTTTTTCGACTACGCATTACCCTTCCATTTTTCTTTATTTTCCACGAGAACGTTGATTTCTTTTAATTTTTTTAATATAGATATCTATTTTACTAATATTCAACTCGTTAGTAAGCATGCTTAATTAAACCATTTTTTTTCTCAGATGTGCAGTTGATCGTGAAATAATGGGACCTTTTGAATATAGTTCAGATGGCAACTCTGCTAAAGTTGATTTTCAAGCCCACAAATTTCCGTACACCGATTCTGTGTATTATCACTGCAATGTTCATCTCTGCCTTAAGTCTTCATGTCCACCAGTAAGTACATTCATCAAGGCACTATATTATAAATAATTTTGTGATAAATATTAACGGTTTTTATATTTTAAAATAGGTGTATTGGTATTCTATTTTGTTTCTTAAATAAAACACTAGAAACCAAAAACTATCAATAATAAAAAATTCCAGTTTAGATTACTAAATTTTAGAGTATTTATTTAATTTACAAATGCATCTGACCTCTACAGGATCATTTGCATACTACATAGATTTTTGTTATTTAAAATTTGGATATTTTTCAACACAAAGTGTTACATGCTTAGTTTGACTAAATAATTTTAGAGTATATTCTTTCAACATTATTTTTTAACTACTAATTAATTAAAAAAGAAAATTAGTTATATAAAAAAGATATATTCAAACTTTACGAATCAATATTGTTAGCTTTAATAATATAACAAAGTTTGTTAATTAAAATTAAAATTTAATTTAGTTTTTAAATATGGTGGTTGTATTACAACTTAATTGAAGTCCTGGAATAAGCCCTGTAGTAATTTCCAAGAACTGGTAGAAATATATTTATATATATTTGACCACTCAACTCAAACTACATAACTGATTCAGGAAAATAGTTTCCCATATGTCATTTTATTTTGTTGATAATTTACTACATAGTTATTAAAAATAATTAATAAATAATTTTTTTTTATAAATATATTTTTTTTTTATTGTTGTCTTTATTATAAATTTCTTAATTCTCTTTCCAGCCTCCTGATTGCCAAAACTCGAGACGAAGACGTCGATCGGAAGAAGGAAGTCCTGCTACTATTGAAGTTTACAGTGGTCTTTATGTTAATGAAGCCAATGATATTCCAAAATCAGAACAGCTTGACCTTGTCGAAAGAGAAAAGGTATTCTTCAGTATAATTTCAATTTTTTGATTTACTATCTTTTTGTTTAGTTTGGGTAAGAGAAAGAGAGTAGTTTGTCTATTAATAGAAAATTAGTGGTGAAATGAAACTGACTATTTTGTTGTTATGAAGATTATATCTTCTGAAAACTATGAAATAAAAATGCTACTGCTATGGGTTTGATGGAATCATGATCTAACTTACTTTCAAGCAAAAATAATTGTTATGAATAAATGTCAATTTTTATTGATTTCCTGTAAATTTGAAAAAATCTGAATAGACCATTATTCAGTCTAATCCTTTTATTGTTTCATATCTATCAATTAAAAATTTATTTATTTATGAAACAACCTTCACAATCAATATTTAATTGGTAATGCCTTATTTTTATAAATAAAATACAAAACCCGTGGCATATTAAAAATTTCTTTATTTTAGCTGATAAGATTTTCTTTTCTCAAGATCTCCACATTTATTTTTATATTTATTTAATTACTTTGTCCATTGCTTGTTATTAAATGATATTTTATGGGTAATATTAATAGTATTATAACCGTAGAATTTTCATGAGTTTTTTTTTAGGCATTGGAAAACCCCAATAACATCTGTATTTCTCAAAGGAATTTCGCAATTGGAATAGCGATAGCTGGCTTAGTCCTGATGCTAATGGTGATCGCTGCATTTGTAATACTGCTCACCAGACGAAGGACTAAGAAGGATGTGTCCAGCGGAAGCTCAATTTACAGTGGCCCTTATACTAACACAGCATATAGCCACAGTAGTTGAACGACCATCTTCTCTAATTAGTTTTCAAAATTATCGACTGCTCATATCGTTTTTATTACAAATACTGTGGTAACAGATTATTCATATAATGTATAATTAATCTGAACTTTCTTTTAAGTGTCATAATTAAAATTTGTAATCAAATCGCATGATATAGCCTATCTGTGTTTCAATCTGTTTGTGCTAGGTGCTCATTTAGGTTTAATTTATTAATTATATTGTGCCTGGATTGTGGTCTGGTGAAAGAATGACCATTCTCGTTGTTTGTACTGATTTGTTATATATTTGACAGAGAACGAACTGAATGCTGTTGTTTTTAACGAAACTGGTAGAATCAAAGTACTTCCTTTAGTTTGTTTTGTTATAAACAACGTTTATTATTTCAGTTCGTTCTCTGAATATCTGGATAGCTGTGTTAGTGGGTCCTCTTCTTATTGGCTTTGGACATAATCTGTATGTTAGCTTTAAGTTAAATGTGCCATAAGGCATCTAATAAAATTATAAAAAATAACTGAATAACTTTCTAAACTGTTCCTTCCCGAAAATATTTTAAGAACAGAGTTTTTCATAGCTTCCTTCTTTGTTGAGTGGTTAAGTTGAAAGACATAGTCTTCACTTTGCTTAGACACTCGTTGGTTCTACATTACAGAGACATTGGTTCAAAAATTCATTGTTTATATGTTACAAATTATTTGTAATATCGGTTGTACATTATTAGTTATGCTGCAATGATTTTCTGGACCTTTGTCTTATTAGGCTCATGATATTAATGTAGGTTTAATTGATAATTGTAATATTTTAACTGTAGTCAATTTACTAGTTTAGTATTCCCTCATTAATTAAATACAAATTCATATTTACATAGTCATTATAATTACATAAATTATTTAATAATATGGTTTGTAATAATTTATATATGACTATTGTTAGTTTTTAAGTTTCCTAAAATGTAGCATAATAATATTATTTAACTGTGATTGTGTTTTATGATATCCGACAATAATTTTCAATACACGGTGCTTCAATTATCAGTGTATTTATTTTTATCCTTAATCAAACTTTTTTTTTCTCAACAAATTATCCTACATTAGCGGAGTGGTCAACAAGAAGAATGTCATAGATATATTGGTATAAATAATGTAATGCAGGATTGATTAATTTTTCCTTGGTGCTTGTCCTAAGAAATAAAATTGGAAAAATTTTTTCTGGAACAAAGACTTAAATCAAAATTCTTCATTCCAAGAGTTCTGTCATTTTCTCTCTCTTGAAAGAAATATGTCAATTTTTATCAAAAAATTAAAATATGAGCATTTGTTGACCGAAAACGTCAACCTGAATATTGATTGTTTTTAGTTTCACTTCTAAGAAAGGTGCTATATAACTTTTAACTTTGATCTAAGTTTTAAAATTTTTTTTTAGCAATATTTCATTAAATTAAAAGTAAATAATTACTAGATACTTTGGCTCAACATTCCTTTTTTTTCTTTGCAAAAAGTTGTTTCCTTAATGGATAAAAAAAAAAATGAGTTTTCAACGAATTGAAGGTTTGAATTATCAAAATTTTTGTTATTCTGTCCATATAAACAAAAAAAATCTTGGAAAAGCAAAGTTAAATTTTTATATTTTTATAAGCAAATATACAGAAACATTAACTTAATAAAAAAGTATTGTCCATTATAAGAAAAAAAATGTATTAGAACTAACTGATAGGAAAGGTCATATTAATAAATATCAAAGTTAAATTAATTTTAAAAATATAAATAAGCATACCTTATTTTTAGTTTAGTGAAGGAAAGATGCTCTTTAGTATCACTGGAAATTTGATCTTATAAGGATAGCTGTTCATATAATATTAATATGCTTTAAAAGATGTCTAACTTTGTTAGATTTAAATATCTTTTGTACAAGTGCAGGATGTTTAACCACTCACTTTAGCCTTTACAGTGTGATTTCTATGAAAACCGGAAAACACTTCAATCTGAGATTTGGTCTGACATCATGTAGTTCAGATCTAAATCCTATCAAATACTACAGTTAAATTAATCTACTCTAGTATCACTTAAAGATTGAAGAAGAAAGAATATGACAAAATCTCTCAATATCTTTGAAGTATTTAAAATAAATATGCTTTGTTAAATGTTGTCACAAGAGGATAAAATAAACCTTAATCAAATCGAAATTTTTACTCCAAGAATTTGAGTTTTCTTTTCCTCTAACAATTGATTTTTTTCCTGTATTAAAAAAAAATCAAAAGAGAAATTTGTTTATTTTGTTACATAAATTGGAAAAGTTTTAAAAATAAATTCTATATTATCCTGTTTGAAAAAAATAAACTATAAATTTCATCATTGTCAAGAGTCAATAAGTATATAAAAGATCTGTTACAACAGAGAGAATCACTTTATTATCATAAAAGGGTGCTGCCCAATTACATTGGGTTGCTTTAAACACAGCATACTTATTAATCGCTACAGACAATTTTCCAAAACTAATATACAATTATATAGTATTAACAACATATATGAGCATAATATACAATTTTTTTTTTTTTTTTTCTATATATATATATATATATTTTTTATCACAATTTTTTTCCTATATTTTTATTTATTTATTTATTTTTTTATTTTATTTATTTATTTATTTTATTTTTACTATTTCTTTAATTCACTTATTAGCACTATACATCCCTTTCTGTTCCTTCTCTCACTCTATACATTTTTCTCCTCTCTTTTCCTAACCTAATTCATAACATGCATACAAATACATAAAGTGCAGTGGACGTGGTCAAATAATCTATATAAAATATATAAAATAATCCATAGTATTTCTGACCTGTGAGGCATAAACTCAAGTGTAAATATACATAAAAAATAATCTATCTTTAAAGTGATATATTATATCCTTTGTACATGACAGTTATATATCAAGATAAATGAACCCAAATTTAATGTAAATGAAAGAGATGATAATTTTTTTTACAATTCATGAGCTCATGTTATCATGATATAATTCATTCAAAAAATATTTGGCAGATCAGGTGCTCTGAAAAAAAAAATGTCAAGGAAAGGAAAAATGAATATATGTTAAATATTAATCCATCTTTTTTTTTACAATGGGATGTTTTTATAACAAAACTAACAACTATATATAAGTCCTTAGTAATACTTCCTCACTTACCTTTAAACATTACTTGCATTCTTTGTTGAAGTTTATATTTAGCAAATATCTACCAAAAGTTGTTTTAAAACGATATCCAGTATATATTCAAGTTAAAATTTGATTATAATGTGGAGTAATTATAATAATAATCTTCGATTTCTTTCCTCATTTTTTATCATTACAATATCGGAGTAACACAATAACTATATTTATATCTGACATTCTGAACCCTATATATTTTACCTATAACAAGAGATATATCTACATATCATCAAAAGGGTGATTTAAATATTTTTGAGATAACTGAAACGAAATAGAATTGAAATTTTTTATTCAATATAATCATAAATAAATATGCAGACATCTAATAAAAAAGATTAGACTTCAGTGGGTTTGAAACAGTTCTAAAAATTATTTAGCATCTGATTTTGAAGGCAGGAAAAGGGTATAGGAGGGGGCTACTGATAACAAAAACTATGATAAACAAAAGTTCCTCTACTGAATCAAGATATTTTTTTATTCACAATATGAAATATTAAATTAAAAAACAAAAACTTAAGAGGATAGAATAATTTGTGATTCAAAGATGAAATTTGGCTCCATCAATTTATTTTACTCTTTTCTAATAGTAAAATACATAAATTTTTTATAAACATTTTATTAAAATTATTTTGAAATACAATTTATTACTGGCTCGCTATAAGTCAAGTAATTTGCTTTTTAAAGCACTAATTACTGTACAGATTCTATTTTATTATACAAAACACTCATTTCTTTATTAGCTTCATTCAAATTAAACTTATCTCATCATTTGTTGATTATTGTATCATAGTGGTAGTGACAGATCCAGAAATAGTTTTTAGGGAATCCTTCAAAAATGTTTGATTAATATTATATTACTTTTAAATATAAATAATAAGAAAGCTATTATAAATTATATTTATATTACCTACATATATTACTTACTGTTTATTGTTTTCATTTAGGAAGACTGGGTTTCAAAATATAAAATAATTGCTTAAATCATTCTGAAATGAATCATGTATTGTTTAGGATAAAAATATGGAAAATAACATATATTTTGCAAGTTATCCAAACATAAACTGAGATTTTAAAATTATAATGTTTTTTTGGAGGGACGGATAACCGCCAATTATGGCTCCGCCAATGATCATTGTTCATATTCTAATATTTCATTTAGAAAAGTGTTTGAGTTTTTTAGGAAAATCTAAAATTGAGCTTATGTTATAGAAATCTAATTCATTTGACAAAAATAACTCTATTAATGAAGGCATAAACGTTTGAAATTGCCTGAAAATATATTAAAACGTTGATGACAAATATTAGTTCATAAGGAATGATATTATCTTTGATTTTTTTTTTTAGCGAGACATTAGACCTCACTATCAACGTAGTTTCATTAGAATAAATAAATATTTAACGAGTCAAACTTTTTTAAAATGCAATACTACTTGAGATACCATTTGTTGTTTTGATGTAATTTAGTTACATAATAAAGACTGTCTGATTAAAAACAACAGTCTCTATTTTTACTATTTTAATACAGATCATTTCTTTTTGTTGCCTGAAAATCTTTCATGTTATCTTTATGAAGTCTTAAGCAGCTAAAATGAAAATTTAAAAGAATATTCAAGCAACTGTAAGAGTAAATCATCAGTGTATTACAATAAGTTAATAAGTTCATTTTTGATGGAATTAAATTTTTGAATATATTTTTGTGATTTTTAAACTTATTAATTTATATAACGACAAAAACTTTTGTATATCAGATATAGTTACACTAAGTATACATAGTTCTGATTTCACAGAAGAAATATTCGCTAAATTACTTAGTTCTTTAGTTTTATGAAATATTTACTTAATGGGTTTTTGCAATAAAATGACAAAATCCACTTTTCTGAATTGAGTCCAAATTAGCTAAAGTGATTTAATAGCTTTGTTTATTTTCAGTGAAGGACATTTTAAATTTTATTTAATTATCTTTAATTTTGAGACCCCTTTTTTCACCTCCCTCCCTCAATCAATAAAAGTCAAAGTTTAAAGTATCAATATTTTAGGTAAATTATTTTGAAATAAATACCATCATTACATAATATTAACTCATTTCATTGAATGAATTAAGGTCACAACTACTTAAAAGTATGAGGAAATTTATTTACTTAAGCGAAAATAATCCTCGAGATTTCCGGCCCTTCGAATTCTGCCCCTCAGGACAAGTGCCATCTTTGTCCCTCCTTAGGTTCAGTTCAGTGATGTTAATATATTTACTTTCACTATATTATGAAATATAAAGTAAGAAAAAGTATTGCGACCGTTAAAAATTTCGGATCGAAATTTTCAAAGGAAATAAACCTTTTGAGGTCCCTTTAGTCTAAATAAGCATGTCTCATAAATCTGTCTGTGTGTAAGTGAATAATGTAGCTTAATAAATGAATAGAACCACGACAACGAAATTAAATATTTCAAAAATATATTACACTTTTTCACTAAAATCATCCTACCACAAAGAACACCTTACATTATCCATTGTATATTAAAAAACCTTACGCCGTCCCACTGCGCCTTGGGTGACCCGTGAGATAAAGGAAATGATGAGGGGAAGAGATGCAGCAAGGCGCAAATACCGTCGAATCCGTCTAGCTGTGGATTATGTGTCTTTCAAGGCGCTTCGC